TGGCTCATAGTTGCAGCTGGTTTTCTTTTTAATCTCATAACTATGCAGAAGAGGTAACACTGATAAAAAGGTATCATGTGTTTAATGCCAGGGCAATACTAACCAGGTTATCACAAGCAAGACTCTTAGGAGGTAAGTTGAGTAGCGATAAGCATGCAGAGTGATTAATATAGCAATCAGAAGAGCTCAGATCAATAAAATTCAGATGAAAAAAGATTTTTTTTGCTGTGAGCCTGATTCTCCACAGTCTAGCATTTTTCATCTGTGTGAAATGGCAGTAAAGTGAATGGAGAATTCTGATCTGGCAGGATTCTGCTCTTGGCTTATGCTCAGATGTGAATGACATAAACGATGGCATCAGATACGAGCCTTTTTATCTTTTATTTAAGTATAGAAAGTAAATAAGTAATTGTAGAATGACTTGTTTATATCTTGAAAATAAGCATATTTACTGAGGGGTATTTTGTATTAATTACAGCATTTCATATTATGTCAGCATTAGCACTCCAACAAGATGAAGACCTCTTTGCGCTGCAAATAATATGCAGATATTTGAGCGTCTGGATCATGGTACCTAGTATCTGATACCATGTTATCTGATTATTTTGAAATAGTTTTACTGACTGAGCGACAGCTTCTCTTTGAAACATAAGCCTACTCATTTTAACCTCTATGCTAGATATAGTTAACTGATGACTTTACGGGGCATTGGCATCTTTTGCTCTTTGCATTTACTGTACGTTTTTATGATCTTGTACAATGCTGTTTCCCTATACGTGGAAGTCACTAGGAAAGAAAAATGCACGACATCTTGCAGAACTTAGCCTGTAATTTTGTGCTCCACAATGAGACATACCTACAATAATCCGACAAAATGAAAGCAACACGTGTCATATCAGCCCCAAATAAATATCCTGTCTCCTCTACAGCAGCTGCATTGAAAGAGATCTGACATAATGGTGTTACATCAGCAGAGCTACTAATCTCAGATGCTAGTGATTTCAGTACTGAGGGAGAGAACCTTGTAGCAAATGGAGGTCATTCAATATCCTCTAGCACTTTGGACAAATGTGGCATTTTGGACTGTCCGTGCTAATGGCAGAATACAGTGCTGGTGCTAACACTGCTGTTGCAGAGCTACTTGTGCAGGTAATCTGCTCCTAAGAGCAAAGTGTCTGTTCAGATGGGCCTGTTTATTTTGGTGCCTTGCAGAAGCAACAATATTTCGTGGAAGCAAATGGCATACTCTAGGTTTTAGTGGTAAAAGCAGAAGTCTCTGACTTGAAAAAAAAAAATCTGAAATGATTTTTTTTTTTTTTTATTTTTAACCCTGTTTAGGAATACAGAATTGCTTTCTAGACCTTTTGCTTCCTCAATATCTTATGTGACAGGTGATGCCAAAAAAAGGAGCTGCCATGGAGGGGCTGTGGTGTTCTGGTAGGAAGACAGGAGTATCAGAATCCACAAAGCAAGCATGCATGTCTCTCTCTATGGTCCTCAAGAGGGAGAATTGCAATGAGAGGTACATTTTTACTTTAACTGAAATAAGAAGGATGCTGAGAGAATTTTGCTATTTTCAGTGTCATGAGGTGGCACATATGAAGAATCCTTTTCCTTGGCAACAATTCCTGAGCCATAAGGTTGAACCTGTTTACCCAGGCATAGTGCCGTTCTGTCAGATGGGCACTGATACACCAATTGTAGAGACCCTGTGTTGTATGTGCATCAGGTGTAAGTGTCCCAGATAGGATTCCCAGCAAGGATTGTCCATATGTCTGTTCATTCTAATTTTGTATTCCCTTATTCCATTACTAATCCAGGTATGGGTCTGATTATGTTTCAAAAATAGAGAAGAGCTTCTTTCTCCTTTAATAAGACCTCTTGCCCACTTGCATAACATAGATTGGAGTAATGTTTAGGAGAAGTTTCTGGAAGACAAACCTTCCTCCTTGGCCTTACCAGACCCCCTCCTTCTGCATTCAGAGAAATGAGAGCTTTATAAATCTTCTTCCTTTCCAAGCAAAGTCCCTGTAGGATCCATCAGAGATGGATCCCTGTTTGATCCACCAGAGACTGAGTTTGGCACCAAGCTAGATTTCATACACGCAGCAGAGTGGAAATCTGCGTTCAGTCACTCTCTGCACTATTTTGCAGGGTGGTTTGCCTGAACTGGTATAAAACATTGAGATTTCAGGGTTCAAGAAGGAGCACGGCACTGGGGATTGTCTCCCTAGCTTCTCACAACCACCACCTGCCTTTCCTCTTGATTTCCCTAGTGGCCTTAGTTTTATGTAAATCAGCAGGACTCCCAGCATTGCTCTTGCGCTATCTTAGCTGTTTTACATGGCTATGGTACAATAACTTATTTTGCTTATTGTACTCCTTTTTATGTGTTTCATTTTCATGTGTATTGAAGAGATAAGGATCTGATATCTGTGGAATGTGCAGGGTGATGCCAGGTCATGCTCTTCTCTGATAGCTGAAGCAATTGCACAGGCATCCAATTATTTAGTACAAAGCTTTGATAATCTAATTTTCTTGCTCATGTCATGCAGTCTGTTCCATACTAATGCAGCAGATTTGACAAAAAATATGACAAAAATCTTAGTTTTCCTGATATTCCTTTTGGAATTAGCTTTACTAAGTGTTGGGGCGACACACTGAAGCAGAACTGCAGAGCCAGCCTCTTTTGATTTTGGTTTAATTTAAACTCTGAATAATGGATTATATTTTTCTTCTGGACCTGGCACGTATCATTTAAATTGGCCACAGAGTGGGCAAAAGCATTTTTTGATTGTATATGTTTCTATGAATGCTGATGGTAAGCAGTTGCATTTGAAAATACCCATCCTCCCTGAAGTCTGCTTAACTTGCCTCTATCTACATACATACTTTTTTCACCCACTTTTCAAATGCAGCTGCCTCTGGTTGGCTGAACCAGCGTTAGCTGGTATATTACTACAAGATGCACTTTAATGCAATGTAATTTTCTGGGAAATTTTAAGTAAAACAATGATTGCTGTGCTCTGTTGGGACTCACTTATTAGTATCCTCTCCTACTGCTGAAGGATCCTGAAATCTTTAAGGACTTCTTTTAAGTCCCAACCAGTGCTGAGATCCAAAAAATTGCAGTTCAGACTGATACGAATATTTTGCCGCTCAGATATTTTCATCTTGGGTTGGGATTTGCCATTTTCCAAATGTTTGTATAGTGCAGTCCAGCACAACAAAGCCATACACAGTTTGAGTTCTCTAGGCAATTATATAAAAGCTAAAATAATGAAGATAATGTCATCTGCAAACTGTAAAGAGTGCACAGTGGAGTACTCCTTTCAGTTTAACATGTCACCATTCAGTAAATGGAACGAGCATTAGTACTGCAAGGAGAAATCCGCATCCACACATACCCCATTCCACTTGTGTGTCTGGATTTCTGGTAAAGCAGTATTGGTCCTTCTGTCAGTATGTTTAATTAACTTCAGCTTTACTTTTGTTTCTGCAATTTACAGTCAGTTAAATCATAAATAGTGTTTTGTAACTGATAGAACAGTATGTAATGGTCCTCATCTTGTATCCTTTTTAGTCTGAATGTCACATCCTCTTTGTAATTTTTAATGACAGCAACAATTTTTATTATATTGCTGGAACTTTTCCCGGGGTAATTGTGTCTTTTGTATATCATATGTGATCTAGAAATGAAACTGTAGCAGAAAGCTGCTAAATCCAGCATCTTCTGTAGCTGCGTATTTATGTTAAAAAATTCTTGGACCTAGTGCAAGAGATTGAAAGCGTCTTATAAAACAAAACCAACCCAAAATTTAAGTTAATGATACACAAGGTAGCTGAGCTTTCCGTAGTTCAGTGAGAGTTGCTCTAAATATGAAAATGTCAAGCAAAATACAAGTGAGGACAGAACATGTTTGCATACCAGCTCTGATCTGCTATCTTATGGAAATCAGCTGCACGTTTGTCTTGCTATGTGTCTATATGCCCTTTGAAAGTACTTCCAATTAACAGAGGTTTTACATTTTGACCACAAAATTTGCTCCAGTTCTGATTTCCTTCAAGACAAAGAGAAGTAATGACCTTAGGAGTAGCAAACTGACTGATCAAGACCTTTCTGCTTTTGGCTTTTCAGGAATTTAGAGAAGTCATTTAAGCAACAGTCTCATCAGGGGCAAACCTTATCCAAAGCTTAGACTTTTACTGTTACAGCCTTCAGAATACTGCTCAAAGAAACCTTTCATTGTGTAACTATAGGGTGCTATCAAATGCAACTGTAGTAGAGTTGCATGTCACATATGCATAACAGAAGCAAGTATCTTGCCTAGCTGCCAGGATGACTGTGCTGGGGGATAAGTAGCGGGTGCTACACTGAAGACAGCAAAGACAGCAGAAAAGACTTAACATTCCTGCCTCAGCATTGTAGCATAATCCAATATTTGTGAAGTTATGGGCTATGCATTTCTGTTCTGGTTTTGGACTCAGAGCACATGAGATGAGAGGAGCAGCAGTTATAGACACAGCTGTTGCCTGTGGTTCACTCTGTCACTTCTTGCCGTTCAAAGTGAGAGATTATTGGAGAACTTGGGAAAGGAAGTGGAGAAACTGCTTTTCAGTCCACCAACTTGGACTCAGATATTCACTACTGTATTTGAGTGCACTCTTTTTCTCTGCATTTTTATCCCATACTTAATTTATGGGTGGCACAGAAGCCATCAATAGTGCTATAGATCCTCACTTTCTAGCTGAATTTTTAAGTTCAGTGATCAGTTCTTCAGAAGACGAGTATGTTTTACTGTATGAGAAACAGGAACAAGGACCTCTAAGATACAGATGCTTAGCATAATTCAATAAATTGAATAAACATCACTTGGGAACTTGAAGAATGGCTCTTTTGTAGAAGATGATACCCTCTTTAGAGTTTCCAAAGTTTATGTAATTAAATATTTCCTATACCTTGCCTTAATTTTATGGTTTCTTTGATTATTTCTTTCTAGCTCAACAAAATTCACCAAAAATCCATGAAGGCTGGTGGGCTTATAAGGAGGTGGTCCAGGGAAGCTTTGTTCCAGGTAAGCGTAGTTTAAAAATCTTAGTTTTTATTAAATATTTTTGTCACTGGAATTAATATAGTTGCATTTGGGGGAGATGTTTTGGTTTTCTTATCCATTGGAAAGATTTGAAGTACACAAGTACTCAACATCACGTTATAGTGAAGTGTAGAAAGGTTTCTGTCAATACATCGTCCAAAGACCACGGCTGTTTTCTGGGAAAGAAATCACTTTGATGACATTCCTGGTTTCTCTCAATAGAACTAACATGATGCTACTTTGTGAATGTGTGTGTTCTGTGTGTAGAAAAGACAAAGGGAGGACTGAAAAGCAGTATTGTTAATTGGATGAATTTACTTATCTGATGCAGTGCTTCTAGATAATCCCATTTCCACAAATTTAAGAGTGTATTAGGAAAGGAACCTAACTGAAACATGAACCTAACATGCAAGTTTCACTGATTTTTGTTTTGGAAATGAGAAACAGTGAGTGGAAAAAGATTAAATCCTACCTTGGCTTCAGTAAGATTTAGTAAAAGGTAAATAATCAGTAGGCAGCTAAAAGGATAATTAAGCAACACCAATTGAACTTAACAGGCAAAAGTACTAGAAAATACTACTTGGCCATTGTGTGATCTGTTCCTAAGAATCTGTAGACTTGATCTATCATCAGATATTTTCACTGTTGTGACAACAGTTACAATCTGACAGTCATTCAAAATATCCAAAATGCTGATTATCTTGATAGGAGTACCAGTGCAAATGAGATTAAATATTTCAACCCACAAGTTTCTGGCACTGAAATTCTCGTGAAAAGCACACATGAAAATCAACATCTACAAGCCCGGAGCTTAACCATGAGAAATTTGGGCTTGGGAATATCCTTAGAAGATTAATGAGGAAACAGTCATGACTCAAACTTTCAAGACAGACCACCTTTTAGACTAGTGTGAAGAGACACCTCCTTTCTGAGAGAACCCTGAATTAGCCATATATGTTGAATATCAGCCTAACCTAGCACACGTCCTCAAGAATTGGTCCAAAGGGACAGTTACGAACAGCTCACTGAAGCAGCCTTGCAGAAAGCAAGGGTAATTTGGGGGCACCTTTCTGTCTGACTGTCATGTTTTCTTTCAGATTCAACTCTGCAACCTGTAAGCCTCAGCAGAAGAGAGAAATCCCATTAATTTTTACAGAACAAACAATTTTTTTCAGCAGCACCTAGATTTTGGAGTCTTTGAAAACCATATTTAAAGCATTTCAAGGATGCATTTTATGGATATGATCTCAGACTAACACATCACAAAGGATATGTTAGTACATATTAAGTTCATCCATAATGTTAGCAGTCACATATCAGATCTCACATGAGATGCTAATTAGCACCTGAGAGGTGATAGCTGCGAGGCAGTCTGAGGAGCTTTAGCTGAGGTTGCTGACTGATGTGCACCGAAGCAAACAGCTATAGCCATCTGCTAAGCTGTTTCCTTTCCACAGCCGTTTGTCCTATCCCAGGGCTGGAAGTTGCAACCCTCAAAGATATTGGAAGGGAATATTTGTCCAAGACTGTCACTGCAGTTCAAAACTGGCATCTCAGCTAATATGATTGACATGAATACAGCTCTTTAGCTGCTTGGGGGAGCAACCACAGGCATAGAGATGACTAACTGGGGGTAATAGCATTGTAAAACACTCCAGGATGAGTTGCTAGAGTTTGTCTGTCACAGCTTTGGCTGTGTGAATACTTTTCGCCTACTTCAGAGCAAAGTCACCATCTTTCTTTGAACTATCACTTCTTTCATGTATAGTTGTGTAAGAATGCATTTAGCAGTGTATCGCAATATGCTCAGGTTAGACTATGCCATTCATGAGTTCTTCCGCTTAATACTCTGTTTTGGGTGCATTTAAGTCAAGTCCTAACAAATGCTCTGGATCCTGCGCAAATTTGTCTTTGAGCAGTTCATAAAATCAAACCATACTTCACAACATTCCCCAAATCCCAGACTCCCTATACTCTAGGATAGATTTTAGAAAAGTTACTTTAAATCCCTTTCTAATGTAATACGTTCATCTGGACACAGTTTTTTTTCCCCAGATTCTGGGATTCACAACTTAAATTACATGTTGTAAGCCAGTGGCTTACAATCACTGATGTGTATCTCACAGGCAGGAGAGGATATAGACAGAGATGAGGTGCAAGACCCACCACGCTGTCTTTCCCAACTTCCCTTCTTGCACTGCGCAACAGAGAAGAGAGCAATGGCGACTGACAGGTTCTCTCACTACAGTAACTGTGGCTCAGGTCTTCCTTGGTGCCAAGCACTGCAAGTGAGGGAGCGGAGCTGTCAAGTGCGGGAAGGAAGGTGCATCGGTGGCTGGATCTGTTTGTATACTAGTGATGAATAAAACACTCTCCCATCTCTCACCTTTTCTAAAAGCAAAGAATTGCTCTTATGATTTAAATCATGTAGGCAAACAAAATAGAAAGTAAGTAGTGCTTTAAAATGTTAATTGAATGCAAATTAGGTTCCAAATTAAACTTCAGGGAATGTTCAAGGATGAAGAATGAATACTTTTCTTTATGCATGGTGATCTGCATAATAATCAAATAATCTATATTATTACATACTTCTATATTATTACATACATAGACTTTTTCTGGTATGGAATATCAAAGTAGTTCATGATGAGTTAAAATACATTTAAATAACCTTTTTTATATCTTTTGTTTGGCTGAGTTTTGCTGTGACCATGAATATGTTGTGTCACTGAAGTAGCGCAAGCATTTTCAGGGTGGCAAAGGCAATAATATTTCCAACTATTCTGTACCATTTCTTTTACTTCAAATAGATGCGCATAACCTTTGATACTCTTGTGTGCTTGATTGTATTGATTCTCTTCCTAATGGTTCTGTTTTTTTCATAGCATTATAAAAGTGGGCTTTGGTAAGCATAAAATATAAGGGTGGTTAAATCTAATTTGTGATCACGGAACTCCCTTGCCAAAACTCTATCCTGTTACTGAAACTTTGGACTACACGTTAATATGAAAGCATAAGTGTTTCTTGCCCTGGGAAGACACTGTCTTCATGACCCTACTGAATTATACCAAGTCTAAAGTTACTTTACAAGGATGACAGTGCTAATCTTAGCTAAGAAGAGGAAGTCCATCTCTACCAAATAATGAGTGAACTTTGCTGAAGGAGCAGATAATGTTCTTCTCCTTCCTTATAATAAAGGTTGTACAACAACTTTAATTCCAGATAAAGATCTATATTCACTATAATTCATTATTGGCTACAGATCACCAAATCAAAGGCTACTTGTTTCCCTGAGTTTCTGGGATGAGAAATCCCCTGTTCATAGTTCCTTTCACAACTCATTTTACTATAAAAGGGAAGAGACTGCTAGAGATTGATACTGCTGCTCCTGCCTTTTGCAAGGATCATGTTGATGGGATTATGCCCTAACATAGACCAGCTGGCAAAGCTACACAGACTCAAAAGGAACACAAGGGCAGTGTTTGTGAAGCACTGAGAAATTCCCTCCAAGGAGGAAATGCATGAATTTGGTAATGATTTACAAGGAAAAAAGAAGCCTGAAACAATTGACAGTGTTGGTCATGGGTGCCAAAACCTGATTTTAAACTTCCTGCTATCACCATGTGCTTTTGTTATGGCCCACACAGAGTTCAAGTGTCCCTAGTTTCTCCTGTATGAGCTTTAAGATTTATTACAGCTTTAAGATTTCTTTTAAACTACAAATTTCTTAATGCACATGTCCAAAAATAGCCTGAGACGGGCAGGTCACTGTAAGAACCATGAACTGTTTGTCCATTGCCTGAAAGTGAGAGATATGAAACTTCAAACCCAAACACATCTTAAACTTTCTGAAAAGCTCATGTATTATGCAATTCTCCAATCACATAGGGGTCTATTTCATACACTGAGACTGGCGATCACTTAGTTTGGCTGCCTAAATAATACAAAACATAAACGTGCTGATTGCTACTCCTGCATTGCTCCCTCTTGTACTAACTATAACATTTCTTCTAGTCTTATTCTGGGACTTCAGGAGGCTGCAGCATCACTCACCGCCTGGTACATTTGGCTTGTCAGTGAAAACAGTGGTGCTGTCTGAGCTACAGTAGTGTTTTAAACAGTCTGCACACGCTCTTCAAAATCATTCAGTCTGGTGCCGACTCTGAAGAATTAACCAGCCATATATAATTATTTATTGGAACAATAATAGCAGTTTTTCTTTTAGAAAGCAATATATTGGAACACCTCATTTCTTCAGGGTGACAGAGCATAGATTCTGCAAATCATTCACTTATTGATTGGAACTTAGGTTAGTATGTATAATATTTCAGCTTTGGTTGTCAGTTAAAGATAGCTTGAAGGAGATATATTTTGTACCAAATATTTTCCTGTTTTCTTACTTCCTTTGGTGATTCTGCAAAAACTGTTTACAAATCATGTAACTGGAAAGGAAACTAGATTTTTTTGTGTTTTTGCATGGGAGTTAAATATAATTAAAATGTAAAACCATAGTCTCACTTTTCAGTGAATTGTTGATACAATTAATTATTGTAAAATAGCAAGGAACAGATGAGTTGACTGCTTTTAATTTGGAAGAAAGGAACACTATTGAGAGCAGACATTTGATGGCTTCAGTTCTAATACAAATATGGCAACATTTGCTCATCTTCATATGAATTGTAACCAAATTATAGCATTGAGTTTGAGACATTCTCACATTAGCAGTAGTGCTGTACTTCATGAGACTATCAGAATGAGTCTGTAATTTTGAATCTTCCGTAAAAATCTAAAGAGGCTGGTTAGAGAGTGACTCACACCTCAAAGGTTTGATTTATCCCTGAACTTAAATATGAAAAGAGTGGAATTTAGCATATTAAGATCTGGTTATGGTTCTACATAATACTTTACCTTCACAAGGAGGTACAATTCCATGTGATACAACTTGGTCTCCAAGTTTAGTCAACATTTAGTCTTATTAAAAG